TAACACATTCATTGTTTAGTAGCATGTTTTTTTAGCTTCCACATTGTTTTCTAATTTTCTGAAAAAATGATTTCTAGTTTTATATGATTATAATCAGAGAACATGCTTGATATCATTTCAATCTTCTTTACTAAGATTTGTTTTCTGTCCTAATATGTGGTCTATCCTGGAAAATGTTCCATGTGCACTTGAAAAGAATATATACTTATATACTCTGCTGCTTTGTGTGAAATGCTCTAAAAATATCAATTAAATTCATCTGGTCTAGTGTGTCATTTAAGGCTGCTCTTTCCTTGTTGATTTCTGTCTGGAAGATCTATCCATTGATGTCAATGGGTTGTTAAAGTCCCCTACTATTGTTGTCAATCCCTTCCTTTATGTCTATCAATATATGCTTTATATATTTAGGTGCTCCTACATTGTGTACATAAATGTTTACAAGAGTTATATCCTCTTGTTGATGTCTTTATCATTATGAAATGCTCTTCGTTGTCTCTTGTTACAGCTTGGTCTCCAGCAGCTCTCTATCTCACTCAGCCACAATCCCTGCTGGTTTCCACAGCCATTTTTGTGGGGACTTCTCTTCCTGGCATAGAGTTGTGGTCTAGGAAGACAGGTCTGGGACTGGGAAGCCTTGCTCCTCTCGGGGGATCTCCACAGCTGAGATATACCTCCTGCTTCTTAGCCACCACACCATAGGTATGGGACCTGCCTGTTTCATGTCTCTGCCCCTCCCACCAGTCTTTACATAGCCTTTTCCTTATATCCTTTGGTACAGAAATTCTGTTCAGCTAGTATTTAGGTAGTTCTCAATGGTGTTCTATAATTTAGTTGTAATTTTGATGTGGTCATTGGAGGAGACAACACAGCTTTTACCTACTCCACCACCGTCACCAGAAATTATCTATTTATCTTTAACTTTTACTACAGTATGTCTTGGTGTAATTTTGGATTCATCTATTTGGACCTCTCATGTTTCCTGGACCTGGATGACCATTTCCTTCCCCAGGTTAGAAAAGTTTCCAGCCATTATTTCTTCAAATCAACTTCCTGCTCCATTATCTTTCTTCTCCTTCTGGGAATCCCTATAAATGCAAGTGTTTGTGTGCTTGATGTTGTCCCAGAGCTTCCTTAAATTATCATTTTTTTGAAAAGAAAAAAAAAGTACTTATATTTTGCTGACTTAATTGGTTGATTTCCATTAGTCTGTCTTCCAGGTCACTGATTCTTTTATCTGTATTAGCTAATCTGTTGTTTATTCCTTCTAGAGTATTTTTCATTTCAGTTACTGCATTCTTTAGGTCTGCTTGGTTCTTTATTAACTCTGTTGTTTTCCCTAAATTCCTCTATTCCACTCTCAAATTTGGTGAGCATTCTCATAATCATTTAAGCCTTTGTCAAGCAAATTATTTCCATTTCATTAGGGTTTCCCTGCCCCCACTTCTCCTGCCCTGGGGATTTTTCCTCCTTTTTTTCACTTGAGAACTATTCTTCTATCTTCTCATTTTGACTTCCTATGTTAATTTCTGTCATTCAAACAAAATAGTTATCTTTCCCAGTCTTGAAAAACTGGCCTTGTGTAGAAGTGATCTCTATGTCAGTAGTTTTGACAGGCAGGTTGGAGCCAAGAGGGGACCTATGCAACTGGTGCACCAGCCTATTGGGCTGCAGTTCCTTCAGGTGGGGAGATTGGGTGCATGTAATAATGTATTGATCCTGCTAGTTCCCTTTGTTCAGAGACAAAATGTGTTTGGACAATGTGACTGGGAATGCACTGTGGCAGTCTTACAGGGCTACTGTACCTGGAGAGAGCTCCTGCTCACTCTATGAAAGTAGAAAGGAAGTAAGCAATGATGCTCACCAGCACTTCGGCTAATGGAGATTTTCCACAGATCCTGGAGAACTACATCTCCCCAGTCTTCTCTATAAGGCATCTCTCATTTGTTGTGAAGTGATCTTGTGTAGAAGCAATATCTGTGTGGACTGTGTGCCAGGTAGTTATGGCAGGCTGGTTGCAGCCAGGCAGATGCTTACTGTGCATGGGTGTTGGCTTGCCCAGCTGGAGCAGCTCTGGGCAGAGAGACCATGTGCATGTGGTTGATCCTGCTTGTTCCGTTTGGGCCAAATGGATTCTGAGCAGTGTGGTTGGGAACGTGCTACAGCTATCTTGCAGGTATGCCAGAGCACCTGGATAGAGTTCCTGCTCACTCTACCAAGGTGGAGGAGGTTGTCAACAATGGCGCTCACCAGCTCCTCCAATCGTGTAGAGCTCCAGTGGTTACGCAGCCTTCTCTACTTGGTTTCTTAATTCATTTTTTTGTGCAGAAGGTGTTCAATCAGTCTTTAGTTGTCTCTCAGGAGGAACTGCTCTCTATATAGGTATACATTTCAGGTACTCGTGAAGAGGGAGCAAGTTCAGTGTCCTCCTGTGCCACCGCCATCTTGTACCTGTCCCAGTTGTCACTCTTAAATGAGAATCAACTTGTTACTCCTTAAAATTCTTTACTTGGAATCATATTTTTCAAACAAAATCCAGACTCCTTAGCAGGAACCCCAACTTCATTTCTCAATAGGTTTTCTCCCTATTCCTAAATTCAACAGTCCATTTCCCCCGCAAAGCCATACTCCTCTGCCTGAGAAATCCTTTTAGAGCCTTTGCTTGGTAAAATCCTACTCATCTTTCAAAAAACTGCTTGGCTTCTCTCCCCTAGGAAGACTTCCTCCACACCTCCTCTCCTATGAGCTCTCAGAGGACCCTGTGCTAACTTGTCGCTGCACTCACCACATTATTTTATATTACTGGCTTATCTTTTCCACTAGTGAGGACAGGGGCAAATCTACGATTCTATTATATCCTCTAGTAACCAGGTCAGAGGCCTGACACAGAGTAGACACCCAATAAATGTTTTAATGAATAGTAAATACAGCCATCTATAAATCTCACTTTCTTTCAATTGGAATATATCCAATTTCTCTAAAACCTTTCCAAAATCAGACCATTGTGTTCCCCCTTTGACCACATTTATAGCCAGAATGATGACTCTGAAAGACTAACATCTGGGTCATATCCTTGATAACATTTCAGAGTTAGGAGCTAAATGCATCATTTATGACATCAGGAAGGAAGCCACCATTAGTAGAGCACCTATGTGCTGCCATTGTACACTAAGTGTATGCTGTACATTATTTCAGTCTTGACAATTCATGGTAAGTCTTTTTAGCTTTTCTGGTAAAGAACCTGAGGCTTAGGAATTTGCCCAAAGTCACACAGCTAGCAAGTAAGGAAGCCAAACTAATACAATGTGCAAGATCAGGACTAAATTTTCTTCTAAATGAACTTAAAAAAATGAGTTTGGCTGGAACTAAGATTTCCCACAGGGCTGAAAAAATGATGAAGGCAGCAAATAACTTGTCCATCTCAGACTATGGGTATGCAATTTTTAACAATATAAACTAAAAAACAGCCTTGTTCCTGTTCAGTTTAAATAACTGCACACTGTTGCCATCCTGTCAAATAACAGACTCATCAGACATTCAGTTTGAACTATTTTAAAACAACTTCTCAAATTTATTGAACTCATGGGATAATATGGTAGAGTTTTGTGTAAAAAAAAAAAAAGCCACCACTTACTAAATCTTGCAGACAGCTCAGAGGTTAGGCAGCATGTTGGGCACAGTAATCACAGGATCACTATCACAGAATCTGCATTTTCCTTTTAACCAGCACCAGAGGTTTCCAATTCTAAGTTTAGTTTACTACAGATCTCAGCATAACAACAACAACAAAAAAGACTGAGTTGATTTTTTCTTCACTTCAATTTAGAAAAATGACCAGAGGCAATGATAATCACAGGATCACTATCACAGAATCTGCATTTTCCTTTTAACCAGCACCAGAGGTTTCCAATTCTAAGTTTAGTTTACTACAGATCTCAGCATAACAACAACAACAAAAAAGACTGAGTTGATTTTTTCTTCACTTCAATTTAGAAAAATGACCAGAGGCAATGACAAAAATATCCATTTAAACGGGATCCCTCTCTAGAAACTTTTTGTAAAGGTCCAGGCTTTCCCTCTTTTTCTCCATCCTTCTGGATTTAAAAAAGGAGAGGTTGGAATATGTCATCCTTTACTCAGCTTGCTACACAAAGCCTCTGCCTTTACAAGTCCTAGGTGTAATGCCAGGACTCATCCCCCAAACCTCTGGGCTTAATCAAGTCCATGGGTGCCTGGCTAGAGAGCCCTGGTGACTCCTGCTCAAGAAACTGCTCTTAATCCAAGGTCCCTCACAATACTGACTTTAAACAGTAGATGGCTGACTGCTCACTTAGGACACACACCGGGCCAAGATGGAAAGAAGTCAGACATCCCTTGTCTCTTCGCAATGAATCACACCAGCAGCCACGCCTGTGCTTCCTTCCCAGAGCCCACTGCAGCCACTGCCACACCACCTCCATCCACTGAGCTCACTGTGCGGCCAGAATGGAAGTTGTTAAAAGCTATCACTGCAATAGATGACTTTCCTTAAGTAACAAATGAAAATATTTTATTTAATAGCAGTTTAGTCCTACTAACAACTCAGTCTCTCCATCTCTTTTGGGGGAACCTGGACTTTTAGGCAAACGGGAGGGTTAAACATACAGAGGAGCAACATCTGTATAATGTGTGCTTTTATCTCTTCCTCATGACCTTAGGAAATTCTTGTTTCTGAACATTCAGTTTCCTCAAGAAGAAATTTTACTTAACTGTTACATACTGCATGTGGGAAGGGACAGAGGGGAGGACACAAAAATCATAAGAACAGTGTAAAGTGCGCGCTGTGTCAGCAACAGGACCTTCCTCTAATGCTGTCAGTGCTGACTCTAAGTAATTTCTGGTGGAGTTGAATACATCGTTGTTTCTATTTGCGCTCCGCCTGAGGCTTTGCCCTAACCACTAATTGCGAATGAAGGTCTAGAGAGCTTTTGTGAAAGGGGTAAAACACAAGTAGTGAGCTGGTATGCAGCCAGGTGTCAGTGTACTTTATAATGGAGGAAAAGAGGATTACAGGGAGATTTCTGTTTCAGCCTCAGTCCAACCACGATTTAAAAGACTTACAGAACACGGCTTCACACAGAACTGTGTTAGTGGGGAAGGGATGATAAGGGGAGTGGTAAACACATCCAGTAAAATTCAGGGATAAAAAAAATACCCACACAAGTCCATGGAATACAAAGGAACACAGAGGAATACTCCCTGAGCCGTAAGTGCATCAGGGCACAAGGTAGGTCGGGTGCAGTGGATTAGCCACTAAATGGCTTCAGTGATAATGATAATTCTGAAACCTGTTCCTTTTTTTTTTTTTTTTGAGAAATTCTTCTCCTGGACAGGTCAAAGATTGTGCTTTAAAAATGTCATTAGAAGGTAACAGCTTTTTAAATATTCTTTTGCCTCTTGCTTCCAGGTGATTTCTTTTTGGTTAAAAGCCAGTAGTATAAACCTTTCAAGATGGAAGAACAGTCTTCTGACATAGGTGAGGTGAGGCGCTGGATGAACTTACACAGTAAGTGAGAGTCTGTATGTCTTGGTCGTCTCCCTGACCATCCACATCTCTGACCTACAGAGACAGCAGTTCATTTCCTCTGGAAGAAGCCAGTAATGGACACTTGTCTATTGGCTTTGCCCAGAGCAGCAGTCCCTTTCTTGGGGCCCTTTCGTTCCTCTTTGGGTTCTTTTTTCACAGTCATTGCTGGGGGTCTGTGTATGGAAGATGTCTTCATCTTAAGTTCTTCTTCACTATCTGTGCAGGATTCACTCTCGAAGACTTTTTCAGTCACTGGTAGAATAAGGGGAAAAAAATGAAACATGAGTGGGCTGAGTCATTTAGAATACTATTCTATCAAAAGAATGAGAAGTCTTGTTCACCCAGATCCCCCCCGGACACTCTGATCAAGGAAGGTGTGCTCATCTACCACCAAAGTTTCCTCCCACTGGGAGATCAGATCCAGCCTCAGGTAGCAAGTATGTGGCATCTTGAGATCACAGTCTCTAGTTGGGGTTCAGAATCAATACTCACCCTTATTCCCTCACTGCTATGTCCCATATCTTTATTTATTTAAATATATTTTTATTGATTTTAGAGAGGAAGGGAGAGAGAGAAACATCAATGAGAGAGATCATTGATTGCCTGCCTCCTGCACATCCCCCACTGGGGATCAAGCCCACAACCCAGGCATGTGCCCTGACCAGGAATCAAATGGCAGCCTCCTGGTTCATAGGCCTACTTTCAACACTGCGCCAGGCAGGGCTGTCCAAGGCCTTCATCATTTGACTGCCCCAGTCCTGCTTTTGGGTCTTGCTTGATTTCCTGAGCTTTCAGTGGTGCTTGCCTCTTTCCACTGATCATTTTCCTGGTCTTAATCTCTGCTCTATTTGCCAGTTTTGATCCTGTCTAGTCTCTGACTAGCTCTATCCTGATGTCACTCATTCTCTGCACATCCTAAGTACAGAGAATTGGAGATCAACTGTTCAGTTCTTGGTTTTGAATGACTACTAATTAACCCAAGATTTATGTGGTCTAAGTTTACATCATAAAGAGAACTGTCCCAAGCAAATTCTATCAGATGACAAACTTGATAGTTTTTTTTAAATATATTTTTTATTGGTTTTTTATAGAGAGGAAGGGAGAGGGATAGAGAGTTAGAAACATCGATGAGAGAGAAACACTGATCAGCCGCCTCCTGCACACCTCCTACTGGGTATGTGCCCGCAACCAAGGTACATGCCCTTGACCGGAATCGAACCTGGGACCTTTCAGTCCACAGGCTGACGCTCTATCCACTGAGCCAAACCGGTTAGGGCAAAACTTGATAGTTTTACGGAAGGACCATGATACAATGAGAACCATAGTTACCAATTCTCTTACTCCCTATCAGCCAAAGGCATATTTTACTTTTCCCCCTGCCAATAAAACTCAATGAAACCTGCCTAATGAAAAGCATTATACTAGTGAACAGACATTATAAGAAAGCCCCAAAGGGCACAGACCATATCGCAGAATTGATGAGGTGTCTCTCTAATATTATTGCAATGTATATACCAATACAAGAAACAGAACAATGCCACCTTCCTGTGACTTTAGAGAGCTGAAGCAGCTGTATAACCAATGTCATCTAAATTCTTCCTCAGCCTTCCTGGTTGCAGCAAATGGTAGAAAAACATTTTTTCTTAGCTGACTAGAATAACCCAATATACATAATAAAAGCTCAGGTGATTAAAGTGAAAGGTATTTTTTCCCATTTAAGAACAATGATCATTTCTAATAAAATATATTAGTCACATTGTTCTACAGGCATAAGCATTGGAATCAACATATCTATGTTCTAATTCCTAGTCTGGCATTTATACAATTTCAAACTTCAACGTGCATCAGAATCACCGGGAGGGCTGTTAAAACACAGGCTGCTGGACTCTGTTTCCAGAGTTTCACATTCAGCAGGTCTGGGGACCTCGTCTTGAGAGTCACTTCCCTTTCCTTCCATTAAGTGGGAATAACACTGCCTCAGAACGTACAGGTGCACGTAGTAATCTTTGGTAAGCTCCCTTCAATGCTATTTCCTCCCTCGCAGTGGGCTATGCTGGTGGTCAACTGGCTACTCCTTCACTTTATTCCCTCTCATGTCATTAAGGTTGCATAATTAACAGTCCCTTCCCCAAGAGTTGCCAAGATTTGTCATTACTTTCAAAAGCCCAGAATTTACTTTGCTGCCTCCTGCCAACTTAGAGGCTAAAAACACTGATAAGCGTTAAATACGTATTAAGTGTTCTCAAAGGCCTTCCTACTCAACTTTGTTCCACAGACAAGAGGGCATTAGAAACTCCCATGAGCTCATTAGAAATGCAGAATCTCAGGTTCTACTGAATCAGAATCTGAATTTTAGCAAGGTTTCAAGTCATGCATCTACTCAAAGTTTGAGAAATGTTGCTCTAAAATACTTAGGGAATTTCCTTGATAAACCTATTCAGCAATTACAATCCCATAACACCACCCCCATCTTGTACGCAACTTCAAAAGCATTATGTAACTAGGTTACTGGAACAAAATTAGAAGCTGTTATGTATTTACTCAGTATCTCAAAGTCTGAAGAGCATCTATACAGAGAGAAGAAACAACTTACTAATTGCTCCTTCATAAGCTATATTCTGTATTCAAATGGCAGCATGTCTACAATATTAAGCTCCAGCATCAATTAGCTCATTATTTCATTACTTATTAATGAAACCACTGGTTGTCTCATTGCCAATTTTGCACAAGAGATTGCTTGAGGGTGGGGGTTAAAAACCAGTCAGGGCAACACACTGAGTATACCTTATGAGCTAAAAGGAACATTTTCTATACTCAAAGCTGTAGCTACTTCAAACTACAGGACAAAAGGGATTTAAGTTAAAAATACAGGATCTTTATTTTAGCTGAATAACAGGCCATTTTTCTCAGATACCATTTAAAAAGTCCCGGTTTGAAAAAAATAAAAAGGCCCATTTTGCATGGGTTAAACATCACAATTCTTTTCAATCAACTGTTTTGCTTTAGAAATTCACCTTGTCCAGAAGTCCACTACAAACTTATCAGTCCCTGCACAAACCCAGAGACCAACCCTGATCAAGCACAGGACAGGGCAGGCCACTGTGCCGATACATCTGAAACAGTCTGAGCAGAGAGAGGAAAGCAGAACTCCTTTGTTGGTAACAGAAGCCAAGATTCATTAGGTTGAACTTGGACTAAAAACCTTAAAAAAAAAAAACACACCAAAAACAAACAAAAAACACCAAACTGCTATGTGAGCATAGTTTTCATTGTTGCATCCAAGGCTCTTAAAAGTCTTGTCTGGAGACAAGACTGCAAAAAGGTCCACATCCCATAACTGGCCAAAACTTGAGTACAGTTTTTGAACAAAACACAATAGGTAATTAGCCACAAATTCCCAATGAACACTCACAAAGATTTGACATTTTTATTTTGGAGTAGAAAAAGAAAGAAACTAGCACTGATGCTTTTGTCCTCTTATAGTTAAAAGAAATTTAACAGAAAATACCTATATTACCACTAACAGTCAAACTAAGAAGCTTGAAAATGCACTATTAGAAGACTCAAAACAAAAAAGACTACTACTCAAAGTTCAGAATTCATAGGCTCACAATAAATCTGGCACTGCAAAGACAGAATTTGCACATGTAAGGAATTTTATTCCCCAATCACATGCTACAATTAAAATGTCAGAGGTCTTTTCAAAGGAATGGGAGGTGGGACATAATGAAACCTGGTTCACAATTTATGTCCTCACTAGTTTTAACAACCACAATGCCTAGGAAAAACTGATTCTTCAGCCAATCAATATTTTTGAGACAAAAATTTGAACAAGAATAAAAGTAAAAAAAAAAAAAAAAAAAAAGGAAAAAATACTTCTCTAGGAGAACCAAGCTGTGGCAGGTGCCACAGAAGAGAAGAAACAACAATTATGGGCTAATCCAACTAACAACAGGTTTAAGAGGCTCACCCATAACTCTTTCAAGTATAGAAATATAGTACTAGGATCTGAGCATACCATCAGGCCAAATTCTAAAAGCCCCACAGAAGTCTGGTTCAATTGTGGAAAAGGTACAACAAGCTGAAACATGGCCGAAGGATAAGCCAATGACTCAAAGCCTGAATTCTTAAAATTGAAGTACACCACTGTATATTGTAAAATGATAACCACTGTAGGTTTAGTTAGTAGGTAGCATCCATTATCTCATATAGGTAAACAAAAAGAGAAAGCAAAAGTTATTTCTTTGTGAAGAAAACTTCAGGTACATTCTTAACTTTCATATACATCATACAACAGTGGTTAACAGTATCATCACACTGTACATACATCCCTAGTACTTACTTATCCTGTAAGTAGAAGTTTGTGCCTTTAACCACCTTTTTCCTATTCCCCCTGCCTCTGGTAACCACAAATCTGATTGCTTTGTCTGAGTTGTTTCTTTAGGTTCCACATGTAAAAGAGATCATACAGTATTTGTCTTTCTCTGTCTGATTTATGGTTAGCACAATACCCTCAAGGTCCATCCATGTTGTCACACATGGCAGGATTTCTTCATGTTTTTTTAATACACATATTTTTAATGATTTCAGAGAGGAAGGGAGAGACAGAAACATCAATGATGAATCATTGATCAGCCCCCTCCTACACACCCTGTGCTGGGGATCGAGCCCACAACCCTTGACTGTTCAGTCCACAGGCTGATGCTCTATCCACTGAGCCAAACAAGCTAGGGCTTCATGTTTTTTATATGGCTGAATAATATTCTGTACACACACACACATCCCAACTTCTTTCTTCATTCATTTATTCATTCATCTGTCAATGGATACTTAGGTTGTTTCAAAGCCTAAATTCTGTTCCCCTCTAGCCCTCCATAAAAAGCACATTCTTTTACCCAGCATGGCTTACAAATAGGAAATATTAAGGAAGTGAATTGGAAGAGTCAAACCTCTATGAAAAACAAATGGAACAAAATACCAAAGGCTCATGACACTCTCTTCAGTCTAATCATCTGTAGAAGCTTCTTTTCCAACTGTTCAAATGTATAAAACAACCATTCTAAAAAAACCAATGTTTCTCAACATCAATGATAACATCTTAAACTGGTATTGTAATTTCCATCTCGAAAGTGTTTTTAGATATATTACCTCACCTGAATCTTCACAATAACCCACATGTAGGCAAAATGGAAAATTTACCTCCATTCCATAGATCAAGAAATTCCCCACCAGAGGTGACAACTTTCATCCAAGATCTCAAAGCTTATTTTTATAGTGTATGGTCCAGACAAGACCAGGTGTTCTACCTTTACTTGTAGTGGTCTCATACCATGCTATTCCAAGTGTGGGCCACAGACAGGCAGCACCACCGGGGGTGAGTCACATGCACACTCAAGTCTGAGGCACGCTGCTCTATGAAGGATCATGGTGCCTATCCGTGGTAATAACTACCTGTGAATTTAAACCCAAAATGTTTCTTACCTATGCAGCCTTCCTCATCCACAAAGGTTTTAGATTTCATCACCCGCTTTCGTTTTCTTTTGTTTTCTCCACTTAAGCTCTGAAAGATCAGAGGTTATAACATTAAGGTGACCAATAAAACTACAAAGAAAAATAGAAGTTTAATTTATAACAAGCAACCTCCAATACTCCATGATGGTAAGCTGAATGAGGAATTCTACACATTTCCTGTTAGAGGGCCAGCCCTACCACACAGACAAGTTATGGTAATTGTATGTGCAGGCTTGATGTTTCATTGTTCATGAGAAGAAAAGTAACATATTGAGCAAAAATCTGAGTTCATTCAACAACATACTTTTGTTGAGCAGTACAGGCACCATGGGTTAAAAAGACCAATAATACAAGAACCTTAATGGAGAAGACAGACAGGAAAATAGACCATTTTGATAAAGGCATTACTGGAGGGCCAAGGCAGGTATTATGGGAGCACACAGGGAAGGCCCCTAAACAGACCAGAGATTTCCACGACATCTGTCCCTGCTGTAGATACTTGCTATTTCAGCCTTGACACTGTAACATAGGCCTGTCTAATTTAGTCTCAAACTGGTATTTTACTTTCCTTTATCTCCACTGGTCTTTAATCCCATATGCTCTTCAGCTAATGAAGAAATCAATGCAAAATTTAAATGACAGTCTTAATACAATGAATTCAGGAAAAATGATAGACATAAAGGAAAAAGAAACTTGACAGCACCCATCTTCTCAACTCTTCATTATTTACACTAACAGATACAGACAAGATGCGGCTAGAGATCACTATAAACTACATTTCCCCATTTGTTGCCGGCTTTTCTCATCCAGCCCTTTTCCGGAAGAGTAACCAACATGCATAAGCTGTTTGTTCTATCTTTCACACACTTTGCTCTGATGCAGGCAAGACCTCATTTTGCACAATTCCAACGGGAGTTGGGTAGCACAGCAGCCCTGATGCTGGAGGTCATGGAAAACAAAGAGCTCCCTCTGAAACTTTGACCGACAGCTGAAATCTCATGTCAAGTGAGAAGACATATTACCCTGTCTTCTTACAACCTATAGGAGAGAATGAGACAAGAGCCATCTACTGGCACTTGTGAAGTATACAGCAGAGAAGATTTAACACAGCAGTTTTAGGCCCTTGGGTGAAAAAGAACACATGGAAAGGTAGCCATCCCAGTAAAGCTGTACCTTGACAGAAGGAGGCTCTGGCTCAGTCGCTGGTTCAGGAGGTGGAGATGCAGGAGGTGGTGGGGATGGTGACTCAGCTTCATAAACCCCAGGAGAATCTGGTAGGACTGAAATTATGAAACAAGCTTAGGTAAGAGAACTACAGGCACTATCTGGTACGTCGCCTTCTCCACTGGCTCAGTTTCCATATCCAGCAAAGGACATTTTGCAGGCAGTAATTCATGACAACCAAGGACTTTGCAGTTACATATCTCTACACAAATATATCCTTAAAAAATACATATTTTATACAAAGAAAATTAGAGAATCAAGAATCATTAGAGCTGGAATGTACCTTAGAGATGACCTTAGCTAAATCTTATTTTACAGATATGTCAGGTATGAAGTTGTTTTATAAATATCCGCTGATCACCTCCTATGAGTCATGTATATCACATTGTTTCACTTTATCCTCACAACAATCCTGAGACAAATATTATTATTCACACATTAGAATTGAGTAAACAGAGGTTCAGAGAGGTTAGTTAGACAAGGTCACGAGCTTATAACTGAGGCAGAAGGTTTTAAAGCAAGTCCATCTGATTTCTCAACCTTACTACTCCAACTATCCCATGCTGCCTCACCATTCAGGACCAGACATTTTCTCTTAAGATCAAGTAAGTGGAGATCATCTCAGATCATACCCATGTCCCATGCCAGAATCTTTGTGACTGTGGTCTGAGGATTCTTTGCAATCACTTGAGATGTTTGTTAGACTAAAACTTTCCAGCTGATGTTAAGAGCATAAACTTGGGGGGCGGGGGAGGGGAGTCATCTTTGAAATGATTACAATTAGAGCTCTAACAACTAAGACCTGCTTATTATGCTGTATGGCAGGTGTGGGGAACATCTGACCCATGGCTATATAAGGCCTACGAAATTATTTGGTCTGGCCCCGCCAAGGTAATAGGGGTGAGTTAATTAAATGTTTGACCCAATATAGCAGGCTAATTTTTAAGTTGATAATTTTATATGGCCCACAAATTATGTTATAAATATCCAACTGGTCCTTGGCAAAAAAAAAAAAAAAAAAAAAAAAGTGCCCCACCCCTGCTGTATAGGAACTATTTCTAGTGATGGCCCCACTGATGAGGCCAGTTTTGCTATACTAAGAACACTTTTCTGAAAGAAACATTGCTAAAGAAGTGATATCACCGAGAGGAGAGCGCCACCAGGAGGATCCCATCATTTCCAAATAGTTCCAAAAATAGTGGTCTTAGAAGGTCCATGAGAGGGGAAGTGAAAATCCTCAGCTGACCTATTGCTTAATCACCACAAAGAAATTGCTGGTCAAGGGACTGGGTAGCTGCTTAGCCACACCTGCTCTCTGAATCTCCTGGCTGTATTCAAATTCTGAGCACAAGTCTTGGATCTGAAATCCTCCCAACTGATTAGCTCAGTGTTAAAAATTATGACTGGAGGGTTCAAGGCCAAATGACCTAAAGAGGTGAAGCAGAACGAGAGCCAGAACAAAACAATAAATATACACTTCAAGTAGTATGAAATGGGCCCCCAAACTTTATAGGCTCTGGGACACAAGAGAGAGACACAAAAAGAAAGTGGTCCAGCTATCAACCCGGCTCTGGGAGGCTAGAACCTGATGGGTGCTCAAGCAAGCAAAAGGCAAGTTAAACCACAGAACCAAGCACTCATTTTTTCTGACCTGTAACTATTAAGAAAGCTGTGTCCCAGTGTGTTAGAGTGGTAGGAGAAAAGTTTATGCAGTAAGGAAGCCAAAGAAAAGGAATTCTGAGTACCCACAGTAATAAACTCAGGAGTACTTACACTATTTACAATTCTGTTAAGTACCTGACTTAAGCAAGGAAAACACTAATGCTAGGGGCACCTTCTAAGACCCCGTTTTCACTTCAATGTATGAAACTGTTCATCTAGATTCCCCCTCCAGACTCTAAGCTCCATAGAGGTATAGGTACCATGATTTCACTGGCACTGAACACACAGTAACAGTAACTTCTTATTTTTAAATAAAAACAATTATTTTCTGAACTAAATCTGAGATGAGGGGCTTCTCTGTCAAGAAGATTCAGCATGCCGAAACTGGTTTGGCTCAGTGGATAGAGCGTTGGCCTGTGGACTGAAAGGTCCCAGGTTCGATTCCGGTCAAGGGCATGTACCTGGGTTGCGGGCACATCCCAGTAGGAGATGTGCAGGAGGCAGCTGATCGATGTTTCTCTCTCATTGATGTTTCTAACTATCTCTCTCCCTTCCTCTCTGTAAAAAAAATCAATAAAATATATTTAAAAAATAATAATAAATAAAAAAATAAATACACTCTTAGTTAAAAAAAAAAAAAAAAAAAAAGAAGATTCAGCATATACCTCCCTCTTCACTCACCCCAGAGAAAAACATTATAATGATAAAGGAATGAAATGTAAATACCCCACCCCACGCTAGGGAAGAGAACAAAAGAGAAGCCAAGCACTCTTAATGAGTAAGAAATTTCAACAAATCCCTGGAAGACAGAAGGCAGATGGCTGACTGAAGGTTAATAGAAGCACCAACCAGTTAGATGAGTCAGATGGAAGATGTTACTATCTATTATAAAACTTCCGTTTTATCTGATTTTTGAAATTGTATTAAGGTATTTTAAAAAAATTTTTAATGAAAATATTTTAAGGAAGAAATTATAGGGAAAACAACTAAAATTTTCTGGACTTTGCAATCATTCATTCTCATAATAACCCATTATTACTGGGTTAACTCAAAGTCATTATTATTTTAAACTGAGGTTTCATCCAAAGACATTAAAACAAAACAAAACAGAAACAACAAACAAACATGCCCTAGCTGGTTTGGCTCAGTAGATAGAGCGTCAATTGTGAATTTGGTTAACACTTCTATTATAGAGAAAGGGCGAATAGCGATATTAAAATATTTTTTCTAATTAATTTCCTTTCAGTGTGCACGAATTCATGCACCAGGCCACTAGTCAATGATGAGAGAGAATCACCGATTGGTAACCTCCTGCACACCCTACACTGAGTATCAAGCCTGCAGCCCAGGCATATAGCCTGACTGGGAATCCAACCGTGACCTCCTGGCTTCTAGGTCGACACTCAACCATTGAGCCACACAGGCCAGGCTGAGTTTATTCTTGTATTATTCATTAATTATTGTATTATTTTCTATACAAACAATTGTAAACCTACTTTTGCCCCGCCCTGTATAACTGTAAAAAATATGCAGTTTTTCAGTAGCGAGACATCACTTACAGTGCTCTCAACAAAAGAAAGCATCCTTTAATGAAGGCAGAACAAGACTGTAGCAAAACAAATTTTAGGGATCCAGCAAGGTAACCACTGTTGATCAGAATTTTCTGGCAGAGACTGGTAATTAGAATTCCTGGAAATCATAGCTTCCTAGGAAATTTTTTTTACTACCGATCTTAGCCTTCCAAAGGGGGTCATTTGCTTAACATTCTCCATAAGCAATCTGGAAGGACTGAAAATGTTTAGCAAAGACAACATATTGGTTAAAACTATTTCTTCCTAACAATGTAGTTCTTAATGTTACTTCTTTCTGGGTTCAGCCTTCTCTTACTTTATGAAGAGAGTAATTGTTAAAAGTGCTGACTGCCAGGGAGAGAAGAAAGGAATAGCCTCTTAAGTAGAGAGTTAAGGAAATGAAGGTGGGAACTTTCTGAGAGAAGGCAGGATGACTATCTTACTTATTACTACTGTTAATTACTGAGCACCTCAACAGGAAAAGTGGAGGGAGAAGAAGAAAACCTCGTCTGTGTCAAGCACTCTCCTGGCACTTTTTTTTTCCTTTTTTTTTTTTAATATGATTTTTGATTTTTTAGAGAGGAAGGGAGAGATTTAGAGATAGAAACAGCAATGAGAAACATCATTGATCAGCTGCCTTCTGCATGCTCCCTACTGGGAATCTAGTCCCGCAACCCGGGCATGTGCCCTGACAGGGAATCGACCAGGGCATCTCTTGGTTCCTGAGTCAACGCTCAACCGCTGAGCCACACCTGTCAGGCTCTCCTGGCACTTTTGACACATTATCTTATTTGATGTTCATAAAAAGCCTACAGTTTCCAATAATATCTCCATTGTAGAGCTGAGAAAACAAGGAATTGAAGTTGATAATATGTCTAAAGCAGTGGTTCTCAACCTTCCTAATGCTGCGACCCTTTAATATAGTTCCTCATGTTATGGTAACCCCCAACCATAAAATTATTTTCGTTGCTACTTCATAACTATAATTTTGCTACCGTAAACAATATGTAATTATATATGTTTTTCGATGGTCTTGGGCGACCCTTGTTAAAGTGTCATTGGACCCCCAAAGGGGTCGCGACCCACAGGTTGAGAAACCGCTGGTCTAAAGAGTCACACAGTAAGTGGTGGAGGTAAGATTTAAATGCAGACTGTCTGACTCCAAAGTCCCTGCCAGCAAGTCCACTCTTGCTGCTTATGTGCTAACTTTGAGCTCAAAACAGCATACTAAATGGCACATATTCAGTGTAACAGAAATAAAACAAGAATAGGTTAGAGACTGTGGAAAGGTTTAAAATAAAATCCCTCTGGCTTTGAGACAAAGAAATTTAGAAGTAAATTGGCCATGGTTTATAAATTTAGTCAGATGCCAAAAATTATTTTTGCCAGAGTAAAAATCTGAGAGCCTCTGCTTTACATCATCTGTTACTATAGGTTGTCCATTTCTATCACATTTCTTCTCACTCATTTCCAAACTAAATAACCCTACTCGTATTTCAAATCACCCATGGGTATAATTGTTGTGGGCTAAGGGTCAGAATCACAGAGATTATTTCAAAAGTATGTAATGAGTGCTCAATCAACCACAGTAATTCTTTGACTTAGAAGCTGACTCCTTTACTAATACTAGAGTATCTAGTTTCCCTTTCTAATATACATTAGGCTCATGGCTTCAAAGACTTTTCCAGAATCTTCCCCAAGTTCTTTTCCTGGTTGAAAATAGGGAAGACTGTTCCAATTAACATATATCCCTAAGTTACTTCCAAATTATTTTCCCATGTGTCTGCAGAGAGTTGCTTCTATTTTCTCAATTCTTAACTGGG